AAAATAATCTCTGGACTCTTCATTAACCATAATGTGGTAGTACTCATTCTTGACATCGTAAGCGGTGACAAAGTCAGTTACAGGGTTGAAAGAGCAAGCTGCAGCGATGTCAGAGATTGACTCATAATGAAATTTTGGGAAAGAGATGAAAAGGTCCACAAATCTTAAATCCATGATGAATCTCCTTTTGAGGGAGCTTTCGATTACAAATATGGGATTAACGACAATTGGTGAAAAAGTTTCGCGAATGACACCTTGACTGAGCAGGCCTTCTAAGGTGGAGTCAGCAAAATGCTGGTTCTCCTCGGAAAGGCTATAGGAGGGAAAATGGATTGTTGACGGTTTCTCTTCTCTCAAGGCCTCTTCAAATTGTTGGACAGTTAATAAACTTTTGACCATTTTCCAAACTTCCATAATCTTTGATGGATCATTGTGGCTTGTTCCTTCAAATTTTAGACAGACTCCATTTTTTATCCAATTGAGCACATTTCTTGAATCCTTTCTGTTTGATCTTCCCAACAGGTCCTCCCATTGCTTGAAATGATCGGATAGTGAAGCTGCCTTGAAATCCTCTGGCTTGTTGAGCCATTCTTCAGCTCTAGAGAGCAGTTGCATGACACAGGATGCCTGCCCGATTGATGGAGAATGATTGAGAAGTGAAAGCAATTGTTCTATAGAAGGCAACTGCCTAGCCATTATATGACCTTCGTCCATCGTCTCTCCTGTTGTCTTGATGCTTGAATTGCTGTCTCGAATTGTAGCTGTTCTTGTCCTTCTTGAGTTGGTAGTCAGCTGGTTGCCTGTTTACAAAAAAAAAAAAATGTTTGAATGGTTAGTAGTCCGGATTGCTTACCTTGGTGAAACTTCGTTAGGTTTTAACCGGAAAAAGTCGGCGGGCATGATAGGCGTCCTACAACCCCTTCGAGTCTGAGTTTCTTTATACAAATCCTTAATGGGATTGATAATCAATAAAGTGCAACACCAACCGGAAAAAGTTGGGGAGCTTGATGATATGCCCCTTAAGGTATGCAGATAGGTTTTGTATCTTCTTGCCGCCTTGTAATCTCTATCGCTCCATGCCTTGAGAATCTTTGGAAGGGCCTTGATTGATGTAAAAAGTTGTGATTTCTGCAACAAATCCTTGACCTTTTGAGGAATCAAAGAGTCACACAAACGCCTTGCCACACGGTTAGTGTCATTTTCAAAGGCCTTGGCCTCATCTTTGCCTGTTCCGTATTGCATATAGGCTAGATGAACCATCTTGGCCCTGATGATGAAATCGATGTGCCTTCTCCAAGGAGGGGCCTGATAGATCCGATGGAGGTGTTTTACCTCTTCTGCAGTTGCAGTACACTTGGGTGTGATTTCCAAGATGATTTCTTGAAAAATGACGTTGATTCTTGCTTCATCCACAAACCCCAAGTCTTTCATGTCAACCTCGTCGCTATCTGAGTCTGAGTGGCCGCTCGAATGCCTTCGCCTTAGATAGCTCGGTTTTCTCCTCCTTTTGATGGCAGTTCTCTTGAGTGATGTTTCTAAATCGCTTTCGGAAAGTTGTTCATCCTCAGAATGAGTCAGAGGTTTCTTTCCTTTTTTAGTTTCTTCTTCCGGGAGGACCACTTTGATATTCAAGAGAGCTGCAGGGATTGTTTCATAATTGTCCTCTTTCTTGACCTCATAAATAATGTCATCCAGGTTTGCGCCTACTTTCGAGATATTTTTGAGGACTCTTGCAGGATAGTATCCTACTGCAGGGTTGTTACAGAATACATATACGACAGATCCCACCAAAATATCTGCCCCCTTGGTTTTGACGAAGGCTCTTGTAAAGGTGTCCATCTGTATGCAAAAGAGAGGAGTGAGAAAGTTTCAAAAGCATTTAGCGGAGGAAAAAGAGAGAAGGGGAAAAAGGATATATATATATATATATATATATATATATATTTTGCTGAAAAATTCTTCAAAAGGGTGTTAAAACAGGAAACGATGTAGGTGTCTGAAGAGTTTGGCGCTTAATTCCAATGCCAGAGAGGCCAGTACCCTTGTTGGTAGTCTTTACAAAGTGACAAGGGTAACCCGTCAAAAAATTCTTTTGTTTTAACACTTACATCCTAGTATGGTCTGATCGTTACTTTTCGGTCCTCGGTGGTTCCAGGGAACTTGGCACGCAGGGGTCGGGACTGAGTACTAGTACGACAAAACGATATATATAGATGAGTCGGTGAAACTCCGACGAAACAGTTTGTCACAGCCCCTCGTTTGTTGTCCTCTTCTCCCTCTCTGCCTACGGTTTACCGGGCAGTTCTATTTGACGATATATATATATATATTTTTATTATTATATATATATATATCTATATCTATATATATATATATATTTTTACGGAGGATCTTGAAAATGAGCCCTTCCCGTTAGAATCCGCCTCCTGGGAAGATTCAAACAATGTTTCCCGGTCTACATGTCATAAAACACACATTTCACGTTTTCCCAGTCATTTGCTTAAGTCACTCGGTACCGGGGAATCTTGGCGCGCAGGGTTTTCGGGTTCGAAATGCTGGATCGAGTTCCGGTGGATTTGGTGCGACAGAACGAATTTGCAGAGCCCTTTATGGTCGAATCCGCCTTCTGGCGATATTCTGACAATGATTCTTGGTTCGCGTGACATGCCAGACGATTTTCTCCCCCCCCTCTCTTTGCTCGGATGTTCCTTGATCGGGAAAAAATAGTGAAGAGTTCTGACAGCGGCGGCGTTCGTCATTCTTGTCGAAGCCAGAGAGGCAAGTACCGGCGTACTGAGGGATATGTCCGAGTTCTGACTAAAGGTTAACTCAAAATGCAAGGGGTAACCACAATGCTGTCACATTTTCTATTCTAGATCCGCTTCAGGTATTCCTCTGCTGGTTGTGGTGAAGGCTTATTAATCGGTAAGACTTTTTAGTTTTCAGGGTCAGTGGTAAGTAAATAGGGAGTTCCGTAGGCCATGTTTTGGAGCGGGCGCGGCAAGTTCATCTGGTTGCTTTGCTGTTGCTTTGCTCATTCTGTTTCTCTTTCCTCCCCCTCTATGAAATCTGGGTACATAGACTCCTTCCGATTACTGATGATGATTTTTTTTTTTTTTTTTTTTTTTT